TAAATAAGGAGCTCTGGTAGCGTAGTGGTTATGAATCGGGCTGCGAACCTAAAGGTCAGCGGTTCGAAACTACCAGCCACTCCGCGGGAGAAAGATGAGGCTTTCTACTCCCGTAAGGATTTACATCCTCGGAAACCCTGTACAGGGTCGCTATGAGTCGGAACCGACTCGACGGCACTTAACAACAACAACATATGTTAAATTGTTTTTGTTAAGTGCCATCAAATTGGTTCCGACGCATAGCAATCCTGTGTAGGGTGTCTTAGGAGAAGCTGGTGAGCTTGAACCAGCGACTTTGCGGTTCAAACCCACTACTGTCGGAATCTACTCCACGGCACATAACAACAACAACAACAGCTGACTCATAGTGACCCTGTATAGGGTTTCTGGGGAGTAGCTGATGAGTTTGAACTATTGACTTTGACCTTGTGGTTTGCAGTCCATTGGTGATCCTACAGTTCTGCACCAAGTGTGTGTGTGTATATATATATATTTGTTGTTGTCAGGTGCCATCGAGTCGGAACCGACTCATATATATATGTATATGTGTATATGTGTATCTGTGTATACGTGTATATGTGTATATATGTATATATGTCTGCCTACTACTCTTGTTCTTTTAAGTGTCATCAAGTTGGTTCCAACTCATAGCGACCCTCTGTAGGGTTTCCAAGGAGTGGTTGGGTGGGTTTGAACTACCAGCCTTGCAATTAGCATCCAGTGCTTATCTTAATGCACCACACTACTTAGGCTCTGTCTAGTCGGAAGGGAATTGCCATTAATTGGCTCCAACCAATCATGAGTTATCTCTTATGCTTGGCACATTGCCACCCAAACAAAATCCCGGGTCTTTTAATAGGCTAGTAAAGCCCCTCACAGATAATTGTGGAGTCCAGGTGTGCAGCTGTAGCATCAGCACTGGATTTTGAATCACAAGGTCAGCACAAAGCCCACCAGCTGTTCCTTGGAAACCCTATGCAGGGTCGCTATGAGTCAGAACTGACTCAATGGCACTTAACAACAACAAAAATAACAAAGAGGGAGGGGAAGGGAATGGTGCATCTATTCTCTGTGGTGACACTGTTAAGTCCCATTGAGTCATTCTAAACTCATAGTGACCCTGTATTGAGGAGCGGCTGGTGAATTTTAACCACCGACCATATGGTTCAAACGGACCTTACAGTCCAGTGTTTATCCTACAGCGCCACACCAGGATTCCACAGTTATCTGTGAGGGGCTTCAAAAAGTTTGTTGAACAATTCCATACTTTAATTCCATTTTCCATGAACTTTTTGAAGTCCCTTCATATTTCTATAATGATTTCATGTAACAAGCCACACCAAAAATGCAGTGCCTTGAATCAGCAAGTATCTGTTTAACTTACAAATCTACAGGATTGGGAATTTAGGCTGAGCGTGGTAGGTTGCTGGCTGATTCAGACTGGCCTTGGCTGGGAGACATAGCTCACCTCTCTTCCACATACGTCTCTGATGATGGCAGAGGTGCAAACAATTAAGCTCAGTGCAAAACTGCAGGTCAGGTGTCTGTCTGTGTCTTGCCTGCTAACATTCCATTAGGAAAAACAAGTCATGTGTTTGAGCCCAGTGTCAAGGGGTAGAGCAGGTCACTTGGTCATCACTAGAAGGCACTGCGAAGTTACATGACAAAGGGTGTGGGGATGTTGTTGCTGATGTCAGAGTCCATGGAGTTGGCTCCACATGAAACACCGTCAGCTCCCACACCATCTTCATAATTCTTTGACATGCTTTGAGTCCATAGTCACTTCTGTTGTGTTATTGTTGTTAAGTGCCGTTGAGTCAGTTCTGACCCGTAGCAACCCTGTATAGGGTTTCTGAAGAGCAGCTGGTGAGCTTGAACTGCCGACCTTGCAGTTCACACAGCTTTGCAGTCTGGTGCATTAACCCACAGCGCCACACCAGGACTTCTGTTGTGCATTGCCTTCTAAACTAGGGGGTTCATCATCTGCACTTGTTGGACTGTTGTGAGCCATAAGATTTTCATTGGCTATGTTTTGGAAGTAGATCTCCAGGCCTTTCTTCCTAGTTTTACTTGGTCTGGAAGCCCTCTTGAAACCTGTCCATCATGTAAAATCTGAAACCTGCTGGTACTTGAAATACTGATGACAGAGCTTCCAGCATCATTGCAACACAAAAGCCACTACAGTACAACCAACAGATGGGTGGTGGGGTGTGGATACAAGAAGGGGTCAAGAATTGGGGTCATCATTGTAATCTACAATGGCTGGTGAGGAGGTAGGCAACAGTATTTACCCCCAGGGATTTGCCAGATCTCCACCTTTCTGACTGAATATGTGTAGAAAGACATGCTCATATTGAAGAGGAAAAGAAGGGTCTTAGAAACACCTCAGAGTAGGAGATAGATCCATAGCCTAGAAGCCAAAAGATTGGAGCTCTACATTCAACCCCATTGCTAGCATGTTGCAAAACCTTGAGAGAGACTTAGTATCTCTGGGCCTCAATGTCTTTATCTGTAACATTGGAATGAAAATCCTGTTCTACACGCCTTCTAGGACTGGGGAGATGGTTAAATGGGGTAATGAATGCAGAAGTGCTTTGTAAGTGAAAAGCATGCTTCCAACAACCGTGATTCACTGCAGATATTTTGAGAGAGATTGATTAGGGAAGCAGCCAGGAAGCACAGCTCATCTCAGGCAAACAAAGAGAGCCTCATCCTTTGGGGAGGTGTGTGGGGGGGGTGCCGAGATGAGCCTCTTGTCTCCTTTGGGGAAACATTGATGGGAATATGGTCTGACATTTGCTGCTGGAGAATGTGGGTCACTCTGTGTGACAGGGGGCAATGCACTTGGTTGACAAAGTCCTGATGGCTTCAGCTGTGGTGTCCAGCATCCTGGGTCCCCAAAGCCCACTTGTCTATCAATGCTGTGCATAAGTCTGAAAACTGAGCATATGTGAGCTAGGTGTGCACACGGGGTCTTGCAGGAGCAAAGTGTGAATGGGCACCACCATTCAACCAAACATTTTTGGAATTAGTTGTTGAAGTAGAGGGTGTGTTTGGAGGTGACTGTGGCCCTTTCCTTCTCTGTTAAGGTCAACCGATCTCCTCTTTCTTCTCCTCAGGTCAGGTTATTAGGAGACATTGGGTCCTCTTTTTGATCCAGACCACTCCAAAGCCCTCTCCTAGCACTTGAGCCTGGATGTGAGACCTTTTAGTGGGCTGGGAGTTCCTGGTGCTTACTGACAGGTTAGGGTTACAGGGATACATCTCAATCCCCTTGCAGAGCAGAGTGATGGACACTAGATTCCTTTCCAGATGTCTAGCCCTCCAGAATGAGAATGAGAAACTGAAGAGGCTCTGGCATATGTACTAGAGATTGTTTTGGAAATTGGACTTCTCTGTCAGCAGACTTCTGGAGTAGGCAGTGGAAATAAGGAGCACTATAAGGTTGACTGCAAACTTGAATGCAGTGTGAACCAGCTTAAGCAATAATAATAATAATAATAAAATACGGTGAGATATTTATTGACTGCCTTTACTGGAAAGTTTGTGATGTTAACTTCAAGTGCCATTTGATCCAGGAGCTCAAATGGGTAGTATGAGAACAAACTTTCTCTCTGTTCATTCTGACTCTGCCCTGTTGGAGTCCTTCTCATGCTCTGTACGATGAGTCCAGATAGCCATCCTTCCTAGTTGAGTTGAATAGAAAAGAGGTGGATTGTGCCAGTTGCTCTAGCATGATTTCGAAATGCCGCTCTGATAGGACCAACTTGTGTCACGTATCTGTCTCTGATCCTATACTTATGACAGTCTCAGGCCACACGCTTTGTTCCTGGACCTGAGAGTGGGGAAAGGTTGTTCCCCAAAGGCGAACTGGAGAGCTGTTGGTGGGAGGACAGGGCATGACTGGGTTGGCAGCACAATCAACTGAGCAGGCAGAAAGGGATGACCTACTGGGACCCTGGCCCTATGCTGGCTCAGCACCCACTTCTCCGGAGATGGGTATCTAGAGAGCAGCAGGCAGGCTTGCTCCAGGTTATGTGGAAAGGAGTCAGCAAGAATGGGCCTTGGAATGGAGACGGAAATGAACTTAATTAGACCTAAGCAAGCCATTTGTCTCTAGGAAGTGACATTCAGTTTTCCTGGAAGTCCCCAGATTAAGTGGTTTTGCAAAATGCCAAAGGATGGATTTTTTTTTCTTTATGGAGAGAAATAAACAGGAAGTCAATTCAATTTGGAAATCTTTGTCGAGTACCACTTAAGTGTGAGGCCCTGAGCTAGGAGCTGTGGGGACCAGTCCTTGACATCAGGATGCTCCTGAGATGAAACCAGAGTGCTGAAAGGGGGTGCAGCACCAGGCATGGGAGGAGGTGGGTTCTGGTCTGGACAGAGCAGTAGGAAATCCTTTAAGGAGTCAGTGGCTGCACTAAGCCTGGAGGGACGGGTAACGTTTGCCAAGGCAGCCTGCCCCTGGAGCTATGGGGTATAAGCACCACCTGGTCTTACCCAGTCTGTGGTTGGTACAATTGGACCTGGAACCAGCCATTGTGCCCTGACCCTGGTGGCAGGTTTTCTGGGGATGTGAAAGGAGATTATATCTCAGGTGCACCCTATTGTGGAAAGGGAAGAAGAGGATGTGATTTCCAGCCCTTTTCAGGGTTAGAGGGGAGGAAGTTGGAATGGTCAGTGGGAATGTGTTTGCTGCCTGGACCTACTTCTGAATCTCCAGATGTGTGTATGTGAGTCTGTGTGTGCATGCTTTTTATCTTTGAGATGCAAGCAAGTCCATATGGACATGTGTGGTCATGGAAATATGTGTGTATATGTGCACATGTATCTGGTCATGCATGTATGTGCACATATCTTTGCTAGAATGCCTGTACTCCTGTGGCTGTGACCATGCAGGCCCACTTACCTCCATCCATGTGTCTGCTGACCTGTGGCCACATGAGACTGTGTATCCAAGCGCACACACACGTGTCTTTTGTGTCCGGCGTTCTCAGGACTCATCCGGCTGCAGGAGCTCATCATGGCCCCATCAAGATACAACATCCGCCTGAAGATCCGCCAACTGCCCATCGACTCGGATGACTCTCGGCCCCTGCTCAAGGAGATGAAGCGAGGCCGGGAATTCCGCATCATCTTCGACTGCAGCCACACCATGGCAGCCCAGATCCTCAAGCAGGTGAGTGAGCCAGTGGGAGGGCAGCGTGGGATCTTTCTGCCCCCTCTTTCTTCTCCCCTTGCCCAGATAAGAGTAGTCTCTGCCAGGCTTGGCTCTGCTACCTCTGTCACTTTTCCTCTCTGAGCCTCAGTTTCATGCAGTGGTCTTTATACTCCAAGTTAGGGTGTGACTGGAATGTGGCCTGGCACAGTGAGGGTGCTGAGTAGATGCTAGTTTCCATTCCTTCTCTGAGCAGGTGGGAGGCAGGGCTGCCGAGAGGGGCCTGAAGTGGTGTAGGCACCGCCAGTTGGGGAAGCAGAGAGGCCTCAGGTCTGGAAACAGCCCCCCTAGTGCCTAGCTGCCTCTTCCAGTGACTAATTCCCTACAGCCCGCGGCACTTGGTGATGCTCTTGTATTACTAGAAGGTTTATTGAGGTTCCTCGCACCATCTGCTCAGCTTTGCCGTGTCTGTGGGGGAGGAGAACTGCTCTGAGTCCTAGATGGGCTTCCGTTCCCAGACAAAGCCACCGTGGCGTGCTGAGGACCAGAGCCAAGCTCTGCCAACCGCCTAAGAAATAAACAGCAAAATCGCCGGCAACCCCCTTGGAGGGTGTCGCAGCTGAAAGCAAAAACACTTGGATTTGAGGCACTGCTTTGTGTAAAACGCAATTATATTGTCTTAGAATGTGTCCCCAGTGATGGCAGAAGGCAGAGTGGAAGACTTGGACACTGGAACCCAGCGAGGACCAGGTGACAAGTCAGGGCTGTGAGGATGCAAGGGGAGAGGTGCTGAGCACGGGCCAAGGGCATTTACAAAGCCTTGAGGGGCTAGAGTTGCATCCTGTAGTTGGTACCCAGGATGAGTGGCAACCTCTGTCCTCTCCCAAAGGAAGACTTACACCAAGCTCCTTTGTTGTCAGCTCCCAACTCATGGCGACCCCACACACGCACTGTCTTGCACCATCCCTCTGATGGGTTGCAGAGTGGGCCAGTACGATCCATAGGGTTCTCATGGACTAATTATAAGAAGTAGATTGCCAGGCGTTTCTTCCTATTCCATCTGCGTCTTGAAGCGCCGCTGAAGCATCCAAGCCTCCACTGACAGTTGGCTGCTCATGAGGTGTATGAGGCAAGAATCAAAGCCAGGTCTCCTACCTGGAAAAAGGGAGCTCTGGTAGCACAGTGGTTATGAATTGGGCTGTGAACCGCAAGGTCAGCAGTTCGAAACTACCAGCTGCTCCATGGGAGAAAGATGAGGCGTTCTGTTCCCGTAAAGATTAACAGCCTTGGAAACCCTGTTCAGGGTCCCTATGAGTCAGAACCGACTCCACGGCACACAACAACAACAAGAAGTACTCAACCACCAGTGCCTTCGTGTAGAAGCTCACACTCCTGGTCTGTCTCTGTGTGTTGTGCACACAGAGTGATCCATAGTGAGGCGCCTGCCCTCTTTCCAAGGGCTGGATCATCCCTGCCTCCTAGTTATTCATGGTGAGGATACCATGAGAGAAGCAGGTAAAGAGCTTACCTGGGGTCCTGGGGTCATCTATGATGAAGTTGTTGTTGTTGTTGTTGTCAGGTGCTATCGAGTCGGAACTGACTCATAGCGACCCCATACACAGCAGAACGAAACAATGTCCGATCCTGGGCCAACCTCACTACCGCTGCCACACTTGAGTCCATCAATGATGCCACCTGGCCAATCCATCTCTGACCCTCCACCTTACCCAGCATGACATCCTTCTCCAGCGACTGTTTCCTCCTGACAATATGTCCAAAGTATGAGAGATGAAGCTTAGCCATCCTGGCCTCCGAGGAGCACTCTGGCTACACTTCTTCCAAAACAGATCTATTGGTTCTTTTGGCAGTCCATGGCACTTTTAGTATTCTCCTCCAACACCACAACTCAAAGGCGTCAATTCTTCTACGATCTTCCTTATTCACTGTCCAGCTTTCACATCCATATGAGGCTATTGAAAACACCATGGCCTGGTCAGGCGCACCTTAGTCCTCAAGCTGACATCTCTGCTCTTCAACACTTTAAAAAGTTCCTGTGCAGCAGATTTGCCCAGTGCAATACGTCGTCTGATCTCTTGACTGCTACTTCCGCGAGTGTTGATAGTTGATCCAGAAGAATGAAGTCCTTGACAACTTCAATCTCTTCTCCATTGATAAGAAGCTTGTTTATTGGTCCAGTGGTGAAGTACTCCTGAGAAACTCCCTAACCCTCACTCTGCCGGCTAGCTTTGGCATCTGGGCATGTGTGTGTCCAGTGAAATAACAGTGACAGTCAAGAATTTGATTTATTGAGGAGTAACTCCATGCCAGCTACTGTGCTAAGCCTGGGAGGCAGGGATTCTCATACACAGTTCACACAAGAGGAAACTGAGGCTCAAGAGGAAAGTAACAGGCCCATGGTCACCTAACTACTTGGCTGATGAAGTCAGGATTTACCCCCAGGGCTGTCTGATTTGAAAACCTATGGAATTTTAAAAAAGGAAAAAGATTCTGTGGTCCATTAACACGGCACTACGTGAGGTGAAGTATGCCCACTTACTGCAGGCTTTCCCCACGTCTTCAATGTGCTGCCTGGTGTCCTGAATCTTCAGGTGGGAGTGGGAGGACATGCAGGGTTTTTAAAGAACACATGTCATTTCCCCCAGACCACTTTGTGGACCTAAAATTGTGAGGGGCTCTGTAGAAAACACATTATAGTCATTATTGTGATAGACTATAGGCTTCTAATAAAATACATGAAATCTGTGTAACCTAGACTTCACCATCATTTACAAGAATCATTCCACAGAAGTCATGTGTTCAGCCAGGTTCTGGGAAGCCAGGATGTGTCTGTTCTTGTGGAAAAGGCTCAGACTGAAGACAGACACCCCTGTTGGGCTGCCTTGGGGGTGATAGTGCTCCCCATATACTACTCTCCAGAGGCAGAATGGCGAACCCAGCTGGGTCGAGTGCAGGGTGCTTGAGAAGGCAGCTCCAACTGAGTCTGTGGCAAGGTCTCTCAAATGTGGCCAGTCCAGAGTTGCTTGTGAAAAAGACAGACATCTGCCACCAGCAACTCAAAAGATGACGCAGAAAGCTTGGTGAGAAGTGTGCTAATGTTAAGAAAAGAAGACAATTTGGAAAAAGAGGGCGAGAATGGTTGTCTATCTTAAAGAAAGCAAGGGAGAGAGACAGTAGAATGAATAGGGTGGTGAGAATCTCAGTATTAAATAAAGAAGCGCAAGGGTTGGGGGTATGGAAGACAGACATCGGAGCCCCACCTGGTCTCCCTGCATGGAAATCTTGACAACCATTGTCACTGTTCAGAGGTGGCCCCAAAGAGCAGCCCAGTCCAAGTGGCCAGCCCTTCTCCTCAACTCAACACTATCCCTGTCCCACCCCCATTCCCTGGGATGGGGCCTTCAGGTACCCCTTGCAGGCTGCTAACATTCTGCTTTCTCCCAGGCCATGGCCATGGGCATGATGACAGAATACTACCACTTCATCTTCACCACTCTGGTAATGTACCCATGGGTCCTGGCGTGGGAGGGGAAGGGCAGTGGTCAGGTTGGGGCTTCCTCTGAGCAAGAAGGTGGGAGCAGTTGCAGCCAGCAGTGAATCCCGCTGGATTTACCTCCTTAAACTGTAGGTGTGGCTCCAGGCAAAGGCACACAGATGTCTTAGTGGCTGGCCTGCCCGCTTCTGAGAAGCCACCTTGTGGTGTGATAAAGAGCTAGACTCTGGAGCTAGTGTGAACACTGGCTGTGTGACCTTGAGCAGGTCCTTTAAACTTCCTGCTGCTGTTTCTTCATCTGTAAAATGGGAATGACAATGGCTCCTATGATTGTTGTGAGGACCAGGTGCTGAGAACAGTACCTGGTGCGTGCTAAGAGCTATGGATTGTTCTCAGTTATTATGGTCACCTTCGGCTCCTAGCCCACGCTTCTCCACTCATGTCTCAGGCCTCATGTAACCACAAGAATTGCCAACATCCACACTGAAGTCTGCCCACTCACTGTCAGTCAGGCTACCCCACCTGCAGGCTCCAGACAGGTCCTGTCCAAACTCCGAGAACATTTAGGCCCATTTAAATCCATTAGGATCGTTAGCTGTGGCCTGAGATCAGCAGAATAAATAAATCCCTGTGCCAATGGGCAGCCAGCACCCAGCCACCCTTCCATGGAGCCAGGCACCCTTGGTCCTTGCTTGGGCTGAGTGGGCTGTTCCATCCATCCCAGGTCTGGGGTGACGTGTGGTATCGCTAACCATCTTTTGCTTGTAGATAAGCTTCCAGCAAAGTCTGTGTCAGCCCTGATGCAGCTCAGGTACTTTGGTTCATCTAGCACCCCCTTTACTACTCCTTATTGGGCACCAGAACCTGTGCTAAGTGTCTCGAGATGACTAGGCCTCTCAGGTCCTGACCTCCAGAAGCACCTATCCTGTCTAGTTGCATCCCTCTATCTAGCTCTAGTAGGCTTGTGCCATCTCAGGCCTGGATGGATGGCCACGGGGCATGGCAGAAAGAGATGCTGTTTGGAAGGTGAGAAGTTGGAGGCAGGCTTTATAGAAAAGCAGATGCTTGAACTGGGCCTTGAAGGATCAGTAGGAGTTCACCAAGGAGAGTAACTGGAAGGGTGTTGCACACAGAGGAATCACATAAGCAAAGGCAGGTTTGCTCTACAGTAATATCCTGGAGCTGACTCCAACTTGCAAGAGCTGATTGTGTTTTTATCTTCTCCCAAGTTCATCACATTGGTAGGTGGAGATGATGGGAGTATTTATACCACCAAAGTCAGCAAATGCTACAAACCAGCTAGCTGTTAAAGATTTACCAGGACAATGTTGCTTGTTCTCCCTCTGCACACCCCTCCTGGACCCACCTGATGCAGAACTCAGCCTTGGGGGCCTGCTAGGTGCCATGTTGGTAGAAAAGGGAATTCTGGAGGCTGCAGACACAGACCAGACACCTTCTTCCCCAAGTCCCTTCTGACTTTCTGCTTACCCAAGCTGGTCTCTCCCTGCCGTGCACCCTCCTAGAAAGCCCCTAGAGACTGTGCTGTGAGGCTGCCAAGTCCCTGACACCCCACCTCTGTTCAGAGCAGGGAGAGAAGCAGAGGAGTAAGGTTGGGAGTGGTGGAGGCTCACATCCAGGGCCCAAGGACCTTTGACAGGGCAGCCTCTCCAGCTCATCCTGGACTCCTGGGGTGCTGAGACCCAAACCAGCCCTGTGTCAGCAGCTTCTCAGCATTCTTCTCAGCCATCTATCCCCCTGGCTCGCCTTCCTGAGTCCTCACCACTCTGGGTTGCTGTGACAAAACCCTGGAATCCGTGCAGGGAGGAGACAAGGGAGGGACGAGGGGGCTCTGAAGGAGCAGGCACTATCCAGGACTGCTGTAGGTAAGCCTGAGACAGCCTGTCCATGCTGACCATGCTGTCTACTCCTGCACACTGCCTTCCAGCACAGTGCAGCGAGAGCAGACAGATGGGGAGAGGAGGCCCTGCTCCACCTCTGAGGCTTGCACACGGGCTTCATGTGCCTCTTCTGTCAAATAGGAATAAGTTTGTGAAAGAATAAGAAGGTGAAACTTTGGGACTTCAGACTCCTCCTTTGTCCTCCTTTGGTTGTAAGGAGTAGAATTCGCTCAAATTACCTTAAGTCACGGAGGGTGGGAGGTGACTGTAGATCATAGGTGACTCTGAACATTGTGGCATTGTGATCCTGACCCTCTGGCTGAGATTCAGCCAGGCCTGCTCCCGTCCCCTTCTCTGCCCACTGTCCCCCACTCCCACCGGAGCCCAGTCGACCTTGCATGTTTGCCTCTGACATCACCTATCACCTTTTTCTCTGACTGCCACCATCTCCCCAGGTCTGGGTGCTAACTAACAAACACCAGCCACGGCTTTCCAACAAGGGCACCACAGGCATTTGGAGCAGGAAATTCGTTATTCCAGAATGTCCTGTCTACCACGGGATGTTTAATGTGCCTGCTCCCCACTGGTTAATTTACAATCTTAGTGACAAGTAAAGGTCACCGTATATTTCCAAATGTGGGTTGCACCCCTGGCACAGGTGACCACTCGTTGGCCAAATCAGGTGAAGTCTGGCATGGGGGAAAGAGGAGAATGGGCCTCATAGAATGCAAGACATGGCCATTGAGCAGCAGGGCAATGGAGGAGGACCTTTAGAAGTGGGCATGGTCAGGGCAGGAATCAAATCCAATGCCCCTGAGGCTGCCACTCTGAATATTGTCTTCTGGTTCACTCTGTTTAGGCAGGAAGACTGTGACTCAGCCCTCTCTGGGCCTTGCTACCAGTCTTAGCTCTAAATATTCAGTTAAAAACTTCTCCAGCTGGCTCAGACCCTTATTCCAAACAAAGCCAGAGGGTGTCCTCTCAGGAGGCTGAGGAAACAGGCAGACCTGAAGCTTTGGATCCTTCAGCCTGGTCTGATCATCCAGAGCAACAGAGTCTAAGAAAAGGACCATCCCATGACCACTGATGCCCACAGGGATCCTAGCACCCTGAAGTGCTCTAGCCCCAGGCAACATCCATTTCAGACTTTTCCCCATTTCCTTAATTCAATCATTCATTCATTCACTTATCCAGCAACTATATATGAATGCTCTCCAAGGTGCCAGATACTGAGGTAGGCACTTGGTGGGAGGGCGTGTACAGAGATGGGTCCAATGTAAAGCTAACAAGTTAATAGTAAACTTCCTTCTTGCATCTAAAGACCAAGGTCAGTACCCAATTCAGTTCTCTGTCTCCAATGCCCAAGTCGTGCCTGGCACACGGTAGATGTTCAGTTCATGCTTGAATGAATGGACGCAAGAATGAATGGCCGGTAAAATTATCAACATCTCCATCAGAGCAGCAGTGAAGAAGTCCATGGACTCTGGCACCAGTCCACCTGGGTTAGAACTGAAATTTTTTCCACTTCTCTGATGTCTTCATTTCTTAGTGCTGCTGTAGCAAAAGTAAAACAGAAATTTATCTCACAATTTAATAGTCTAGCATGTCATCTCCAGGGAAAGGCCCTCTCTGCCCGCTCTGGGATAAAACCCTTGTGTCAGTTTCTTTAGTATCCGTCCCATCATTCCTTGAGATCTCTGTGTAGTAGCATCTTCCCATGTTTGTCCTTGCTGGTCTCTCCCCTCTGCTCTTTGCATATCTCAATAGCCTTTGGCCTTGTAGGTAAGCACTGGGCTGCAAGGTCACTGGTTAAACCCACCAGACACTCCTCAGAAACCCTGTGCAGGGTCACTAAGAGTCAGAACTGATTCCACCACAACACTTAACAACAACAACAGGAGTCGTTGACTTAACACACCTTACACTGATAATTGGCTCATTAACATAACAAAGAACCCTCTCTTCCCAAATGGGCTTCATCTATAGATATAGGGGTTAGGATTTATAACACATTTTGGGGGGTGTGGGGGGGCGGTTGTGTATGTGTCACAATTCAACCCACAACACTTGGGCTTGGGCAAGTTACTTAACTTCTCTGTACCTTATTCCCCATCTATCTGTTGGTGTTAGATGTTGTCGAGTCGGTACCGACTCAGAGTGACCCCATGAACTCTGCCTGGTTCTGCATCAACCTCACAGTCGCTACTACACTTGAGGTCATTGCTGTTGCCACTATGTCAATCCGTCTCATCGGGGATCTTGTTTTTCACTGATCCTCCACTCTTCCAAGCATGATGTCTCCAGGGACTGTCCCTCCTGATAATATATCTGAAGTATGAGAGACGAAATCTGGCCATCCTGGCTTCTAAGAAGCATTCTGGCTATTCTTCTTCCAACACAGATTGGTTTGTTCTTTGGGCAGTCCATGGTACTTTTAATATTCTCCCCCAACACCATAACTCAAATGCATCAATTCTTCTATGGTCTTCTCTATTCACTGTCCAACTTTCATATGCATATGTTGTTGTTGGATCAGGCACACCTTAGTTCTCAAACTGACATCTTTGCTCTTGAACACTTTAAAAAGTTCTTGTGCAGTACATTTGCTTAATGCAATACATCGTTACTGCTGCTTCCATGAGTGTTGATGGTTGATCTGAGCAAAATGAAGTCTTTGACAACTTCAATCTGTTTTCCTTTATCTTGATGTTATCTAATGCCCCAGTGGTGAGGATTTTTGTTTTCTTTACATTGAGGTCAACACACATAGAAGGCTGTGGTCTTTGATTTTTGTCAGTAAATATTTTAAGTCCTTGTAAATTCCCATCTATAAAGTGGTAATAATAATAGCATTGCCTCACGGGATGCTTATTATGAGGATTAGACGCACTGATGTTGGCAAAGTATTCAGAGCAGTTCTTGGTTCTCAGCGAGTCCGATGTAAGTATTAAGTAAACAAACTAAAGAGCTCTTGTTTGTTTCCTTTGTGCCTGGTATACCCCATCTCATTCAGAATTCAGAGCTCTCCAGGGCAGTATGGCTCCCCCAGTTTTACATAGCAGTGGAAACTGAGGATTTGAGAAATCGCCCAGCAAGAAGGAGGCAAA